TTGATAACATTTTTAAAACATTTTCAGTTTTTAACTTAGCCAATAAGAGTTTTGATCTACATTTGTACATTAAAATAAATACGAAGAAAGACGAAAAAGATGAGTATGTGAAGCGTGCTAGAAATCACTAGTATATAAGACTAACTTTCAAATTGGAGGTCAACGCTGCTACTCAGTGCCTCCCGCTACATCTGTCGTCGGCTTTGAATTTCTGCATTGTGGTTGAAAAGTCGCTTCCGTCAGCACGCTCAGTTGGTGGTCTGATCCCATCAGTAAGGTAGTAAATCAAGCTGCCACCCTCATTGGTTACGCTTCCAAAACTGTTTGTCCAACACAAATTTTTTACGCCCTCCTACCTGTACAGTTTTCTATTTACAAATAACTAATACCAAGAACTACTCTACCTTTCTTTTTCTATCTACTTCTATCTTTCAAAGTTTTCTTTGCTTTCTATAGTTAACTAAAATTTAGGATTCCTCTTGGTACCCATCATTTCTGTATCATATATATTCAACAGAAACTCTCGACCAAACCTTTAAACTACAATTTGCTTTGACTATGTCGATAAATATATTTAATTAATTTTGTCGGTATTTTTAATTAATTCTGACTTATATTATAGTTAATTGATCTATTTGCTAATTATGTGTGTACGAGTACGTATGGCGAGCACCTCTATTGATTTTAATTATATAAGTAGAATGGCAAAAAAAAATTAAAATGAATAATTTCTTTTATTTTACATATATATGAATATTGCTTTAATAATTTTGTCTTGTAAAAATTTTAGTTTTTGACTCTTGGATGCAACTTGGTGCGGAAGAATTTGATCTGTTTCTCATTAAATCTGAATAATCTAGAAAATTCATTGATTAACAATGAACACTCACTGTTTTAGTAAATCAAAGACATGTTACCGCAAATTAGTACCTATTCTCTAACTGAATTAATGAAATTTTTTCACTAAGTGAGGACAGAAAATCAACTGCTGAAACAATGAAAACTTATTACGGCAAAAAAGAAATTTTACTGAAGTAAGTAACAGTAAGTAGTAAAAATATTGTTGCCGGTACGTTTCGGCGTACGTTTCATTACAACTACCTAAAAGGTTGCCGGTAAATTATCAGGCCCTAATTTAAAAAATATACTAGGTACATAGCTGAACCGATCCAAGTACATATTAAAATGTAATTAATTAATAATATATTCTTTTCCTTAATAAACCTACGTATATGAACAGATATTTATAGTTCCTAGCGCAAATGTAAATATTTAATTTCTTCGCATTTCTTCGTACAGTACATAATGAAAGCCGAATATAATAATTGTTTGCCACTTGCGAGAAAAATTACGCCATCTATCGATAAATGAATCAAAAACCTTATAGAGACCTCATTAAAAAGCTCCAACCATTTTTAATAAAACTTATTTCATTAATTAATTTTTCAAATCGTATCAGCTACATATCTAGCACATTTACAAGGTTTGAATCCGGCAACCTTCTAGGCAATGGTTGCGGAACGTACAGACAATAATAATTTTGTTACTTTACTATATAATATCGTCCATGCTGGTACATACCCAAAACGATTCCTGGCAGTACCTCATTCAGTACCACTACATTAAAGAAATGGTTAATGGTACGTACTGGCTTTGATAGATTTTACTTACATAGGTGCGCTCCACGGATGTGCGTGCCGATTCAGCAGCGGAGAATTCAGAGAAAGCTACTTTGCCTGCTAACTTACGGCTGCCGAATTCTGTAGCTTGCAAAATTGATTTGCGCAGCTTCTATACATCTTACAAAAATATTTTAATAAAAGAAAAATAAAAGAAAAATTTGCGTACAGAAGATGTGCAAATTAATTTAACAAGTAAGAGAGCCTCGGTGGCCGTGAGTTGGTTAGGAGAGGCAGATCCCCTGGTCCTTCCTCTGCTAAATCGGCATGCTGATGCGGCGCACTTGCATTGTTAACACAACTTTTTCAAGTTGAAATCAATATACTTCGAATATTTCTAGAAAAATCATTTTTTTTTTCATTTTGAAGATTTATTGATTACCAATCAAATCCTTTCCATTTAATTCGAATATCGATATTACTTAAGGGTGGAATTCTATTTTGCAACTAGAGCGGCGAGATTTATAATATAACTATTAATTTATAGAAAATCGAACTATATTTGTATTATATATACTCATTTGTATAACTATATTTGGACTATATGCGTATAATATATACTGATTTGGAAAACGTTAATAAAATTTATTAAAATTTATCAAATATGTAAACGCTAATATCTTTTCACATACACGTAAATAATGCAAGATATTGTTACTAAAAAATTTAACTAATTATACTATATATTAATACTTTTATAAAATTTCCTTGAAAATTTCTTACAGCTAAGATCATCTCCTTGCGATAATTAGAAAATGAGATAAAAGCAAATAACTGAAAAAACAATTTTTTCATCATGAAATGATATCTAATGTTCCGATACTTCTTAGCATTCAACATTTTTTTTCTATTATGGACTCTCTTATATAACGAAAGTGTGAAAAATTCCATGTACCTATTTTGTAAATGCAAATTTAGACGAAACTAAACAGATTATATTCATCAATGGAAAATAACTATTGAATAAAAACTAAAATTGGAAGTTTTTGGAAAATTTTTTTATAAATGGAAAAAAATACTTCATTACGATTATAAAGATAGAAAGATAAGATTAGAAAGGTTTTTCTACAAAAAGATAAAAATCAAACTGGTGAAGCTTTTTGAAATCAATTTTCATATTTACCGCAATTTATACTTCCCCCAACTAATTGCCAAATCTCACTTATTTAATTGAAAATTTCAGGCCATAAAAAATATATAAGAAAATAAAATATCCGCAATTTATTTCACAAAATATTCAAGAATAATATAGCTTCCAAGCTATGAGAGCCATGCAGAGAAAATCTGGATATAATGTAAAGTATATCACGAGAAAAGTCGTTCGACATCGTTCAGACCAAAGATAAGACGTATTACCGATACATACTTCGCTCAAAATTACAAAATATCAAACAAATACGCTATCAAAGAATTGATATGAATTAACCAATATCTTGCTTCTCTATAAATTTTACTTAACCATTTCATTCAAGAAAGTTTAGCGTTATCTCACCTCTTCGCCTTTATCTAAATTTTCCTGCAATTTATCTGATTTACTGTAATACTGAATTATTTAATGACATTTTAACGTTCCTAATCTACAATATAATCACCGTCTTATGATGCTATATTATCAGGCATGTAGATAATTTAAACATAATGTAACAAAATTTATAAGTGTATAGTTAAAATATTTATTTTATTTCCATAATAGAATTTGTTTGTTTAGCAAAATAAATGTATATTGATATCTATTAATTATTTCTCTACTTCAGATTGCACTGCCATATTGTACAGGTAGTAATTTTGAAACTTCTTAAAGCCAGGGTTGGCCTGTTTATGTCTAATATTTAACAATTGGGCCTGTTAGCTATAGTGCAGTTTAAATAGGTAACTATAGTGTTTCATCACAGCTTGGCGTTTGAAAATAATGAGACTTTGGAAAATTACATTCGATATAGTAAGATTTAATAATGTTTCTTTTTAAATTTCTCTTAAACTATTCAGGATGAGCATAAAAATTTGTTTACGATTTTGCAGTTATTGAAACGAATAAATACATGACTTTATATTATTTCATAAAACATACAAGTATATTAAGCAATGATAACAGCCTATGTAACCATACACCAAATTTTTTCGTTTAATAACTGTAAGAAAAATGTTAAATAGAAATAAAAGTTGATAATAGTAAATTATTGTTGGCTCGATCAATTTTTGAATAATTGGGTATTTTGAAGATCAATCACGAACATTTTTCGAAAATAGCTCATGTATGCACTATTGGTAGAACTTGGCAAAAAAGCCCTAGTCAGATAAATCGGGAGAAAAAAGGATGAGACATAATGAGAGAGCCAGGGAGTGGGGCGGTGAAAGAGAGAAAGGAGGGACTAACAGAGTAAAAGGAAGGAAAGGGAAGAAGAAAGAAGCAAAGAGAAAGAGAGAGAGAAAAAGTAAGAAAGGATAGGGGACTAAGACAGTGAGTATGTGCGTGCACGTCTGTGCGTGGGTATATGTGCGTGAGAGAGAAAGAGAGACGAGGCCCACACACCAAAAAAGGCTAATAGCCAACAGATAACACTCTTAAACACTTTGCCTGAAAGATGCTTCTTTTGGAGAAACGAGTTACCACCCGTTGCTGCTGTTGAAGCTGCTGCTGAACAGCCTAGTACACCTCTCTCTCTCTCTCTCTCTCTCTCTCTCTCTCTCTCTCTCTCTCTCTCTCTCTCTCGTCTTTCTCTCTCTCTCTCTCTCTCTCTCTTTCGTCTTTCTCTTTAGCACTCACTCTTTCTCTCTCCTTCGGTCCTTCTTCTTTTCCTGTCGTTCATAGTAATACCTTTGTGGTGACGTTCTTGTTCTTAGTTTTCTTTTTCTGCCAAGCTATCGGTTTTATTTACATTCAAACTCTTTGTCTCTTATAATGGCATGCATTAACTTTTATCTTCTTTTTTAAACACTCACTTTTTCTATTCCTTGCGTACATTAGATTTGATATTTTTACGATTACCCATTTTTACAACCTTCTACTTTCCTGTTTTATCTCACTAATTGAGTTAAATTTTTTACTTTCGTTGATCAAAGATTTCTAAAATTAGTCCTCTTTTAATAAAATAGAACTTACAAACTTACATAAATGTCAGAAAATGTGTGGGTTATCAAACACTAAGCTGTATTTATAGTGCACGATTGCAGAAATGCTCGCGGCTTTCCGATAATGGCACGTACACTATAAAATGCATAATAGCACGTACGCAGTACTGACGTCAATAAATGCTGATTCTTTAATCCGTTCGTTTGTTTTATTGACATTTTTATTAGTATTTCCATTTCCGTTGAGTCCGATTTATTCTTAGTAATTCACGTTGCATTACAGTTTATTAAAGTTAAAACTCTCTCTTTCTCTTGCATTGCTTATACCGGATTATGCACTGAAAAAATAAATTATAAGATTAAACAAGTATGGCAAATGGACTTAATTCCAATTTGGGATCACTATTCGCGAACTGCAGTAAGTTCTTGTTCTTGTTGATCATCAATTTTGACTCTAACGAAAGCAGCTTTGAAATACAACTTAGTTTAATATATTACAACAATCAATATTCATTGATAAAGGAATATTCGATTGACATTCGTCATTTAATAAAAATTGATAAAAGATTTGATCATTCAAAGATATATCGAAAAAATATCTAGAAGTTTTAGTAAACATTCTACAGTTAATAAAATTTATTAAAAATTATTAAACATTAATAGTTTTTAACGATTGAGAGTTAATTTATTATTAATAATACATTGAATTTCGTGTATTTTAAATTCATGATGCATCACATTGAAAATAGATATAAACATGCTTTCATTTTTATGATTCTTCAATATTTTACTACCCATATATCTCTGTATGTATATAACATTTAGTCTCTTGATATTATTATTACTTCTCTTTCAATCACACTATTTTTTTATCAATCTTATTTAAATACCATTATACAAAATTTTACAAAGTAAATTGTTGCTTAGATAGTTACCTTCTTACATGTTACAATAACTCTTATCAAATCTCTATTTCAATTATTTATATATCTCACTATATATCTCAATCGAGTTATAGTTTTTTTATGATTTAATTTTTTCTAAACTCTTGAAAGTAGTGAAATCAATCTTATGATGGCAAGGATGCGAATTTTTTTTTATATACTATTCTATTGCTTCATACTATACGACTCTTATCAAATCAATATTATCAGTATTCATTCAATATTAACAGCGCGATATCTAGCAAATCAATTAGCTTGGTATTACTTGAAAATAGTACGGATGCTGAAAACTGTAATTGAAAATAGCTTTCATACGTAATGTCATAGAACAAATAATATATTTATTTATTAAATATATTATCATAATTCTAAAAATTACACCTTGAAATACTTTGAGTATTGGAAGAAGTGATAGAATGAAAATAAATGATATAATATTATATATAACTTATACGTTAAATGATACCAATAATTTATATACATTTTAGATAACTTTCATTCTTGCCGGGTCTCTTCGCCAACAAGTTATACATATATATATATATATATATATATATATATATATATATATATATATATATATATATATATATATATATATATATATATATATATATATATATATATATATATATATATATATATATATATATATATATTTACTGTTACAGTTTTTGTTTGCACAAATATTTTTTTATATCTAATAGTAACTTGATGTGGTTATTCGCATCCTCACGGACTTCCGGTGTACGAAGTAAATCTTCATAATGGATAATAGAATAAATTGTAAAGATATACAAAAATTAACTAAATTCTATGGAGATTTTTGGATATTGGAAATAATACCAGGCTCATTGATTTGCTGTTAATATTGAATGAATACGTGCTTACCTAATTTATTTTAGCCATATATAAAACAAATTAGCTTTCCAGCCATTATAATATAAATTTCATTACTTTAAAAAGTTTAGAAACAATTCATAAAAAAAAATTAATAAAATAAAACTCAATTGAGATACATAGTGAGATACATAAATAATTTAAATAGAGATTCGATAAAAGTGTATAGTAACATGTAACTATCTAAGCAACAGTTCACATTGTAAAATTTTGTATAATGGTATTTAAATAAGATTGATAAAAAGAAAAGCGTGTTTGAAAGAGCAGTAATAATAATATCAAGAGAATAAAAATATTTAACTATAATTTTTAAATAATTTTACAAAAGCATTCATGCAATTTTTTACTTTGTTAAAAGTGTTTTTTTTTAATTAGATTTCACTTATTTCAAAGTAAGCTCTAATTAATAGATTCATGAAAACGTAGTTTGTGGCTTTTTTTTTGTATAATTATTACAAATTAATCATTTCTTGTTTGGTGCTTTAATTTGTTCTAAAAATATTATGTATATATCTTTTGAGCCTTAGGGCCATGATTTTTTAATACATTTCGTATCAGAAACATGGGAATAATTATTTACTTCGCGTAAAACATTGAAATAATATCCGTTTTACAAACTTGGTCCATAATGAAAAATTGCACTTATTACTCTAAAACATTTATCATGAATAGAAAGTTTCGTCTTTAGCACCTCATTTATCTTAAACCTAGTTAGTTTATTATTTTCTGAAAATACGGACAGTCTTATTATCAAAATCATTTCCGAATCAATACGAAAAGATACTTTTTTTTGTTTATTATGTTTGCAATTATCATGACAATTTTCTTGAATGTCCCGCCACACATTAATATTTTCATCAATAATTTGCTAAAACGTATACTCTATTTGATTCTGAATTTAAGTATAAATTAAAAATATAATTACGTCCTTAATTGTAATTGGATCAGACCTAAAATCACATCCTGGACATCTTTTTCTAATTGTTAATTCATGCTCATTAAGTTTGCCTATATTATTACATCTGACAAGACAGATGACAAGAACGACTGCGCAGGCGCAGCCATCCGTGCGTAGATAATAAGATATGGCGCAGTATATACGAAGCAGATAATCATCTGCATTCCAGATATCGGCTTGGAAGAAAAGAAAATATGAAATCGGGCTATTCGTAATGCTTCGGGGGGAAAAATAATAATAAAAGAATATAACAAAAAAACACATAAGACTTTAGCTTATTGGACTACCAATAAGATAAAATGGTTGTGCAGGAACCAATTATTTTACATTTTTTATAAAAAAAAAGAAAATTGTACACCCGACTTCGTTGTGTATAGTGTCGCATAATCGCGTAATCCGCGTCTTCGGCATTCATGCTTAAAGGCGCTGACGTGCCCCTTGATATGTGTACTGTATTTACATATCCTGTATGTATAACAGAATTCATGAAAATAAACATACACACAAATATTTTGACTATACATTCAGTTTTCACGGTCGTTGATAAAACCCGAGCTTCAAAAGTGTAATTGCACTGAATACCTGCGTTTATTTTGGTGTAGGATCTAATTATTTTTAGCGGCATTTCTATCCTTAATAGCGATACAAACATCTCTTTTCATAGATTAAAATGGAAGTAGCTCATTCTGAGCTCCACGATAAATATGACTGTGATGAGTTTTCTCTACGAGGTAATCTGAAATGAAACTTTCTGTTTTCTTACTACTGTTTTCTTACTTTGCTCGGTTATAATATCATTACTAGACTATCCAAGCGAAATCCTCTAATGGCTTTCCATTTCTCAAATCCTCGTATTGAAGCTTCGAAGCGTTCCTGCTATACGTACCACGTATTTTTAGAAAATCTGTGTTACTGTATTTTCTACTACATGGTTGCAAGTTTTAATCTTAAATTGTCAAATTTTTACAGGCTTTTTCCTATGTTCGCTTTCGCGACCAATTCCAATTATCTCGAAACCCCGGGTAAATGCTTAAATTATAATTTTGTTAGCAGGGATGATAGGGTTTAATACAAGCACGCGGGATTGATTCATTAAATAAAATTGTTGTAAATTTTCAATTTTACTCTTTACTTTTATTAGCTACTGAAAATTTCTGTTTTACTTTAATGGTTAATAAAACGTTTTTTACCTAAGTTTATACCCCATGCTTGAAAAAAGTAATACTCAACTCGCTGTTTCTCTCTCTCTCTCTCTCTCTCTCTCTCTCACTTACTTGACATTCACGTACACACACATACACATACTGCCTGTAAACCGGAGTGTATCCCTCGTTATGGAAAAGAGCAAAAGTTCGGTGGATTCCCAAGAAGAAACAATCCGCATGTGTCAATAATTTTAGACATATCAATTTACTTTACGTATCCATTAAAATACAAGAAATCACCGCTTATGAATAAATTGCACTATATAAAACAAGAAATATTCTTATCCTGTTTAGTAAGGCTTTTGGAAGTTCAGACTACAGACGGTTGTAGATTTTTCGCTTTCTCTTCGTATGGGTGTATTACATTATTTAGATAGATTTCATTTTACCAAAGTCCGCACTTAAATATTAAAAATCGCAGCTGGAATTCATTGATTGGAATCTGCCTTGTTTCAAACACAAGTCGTCACTCAACGTCGTAATAAAAAAATTTAAAACGAAATCCTGTCGGTCTCATACAGTATCACTGTGACCTACATCTAAAGTAATATCACACATATTGTGCGCTCTGACTTTGTCCAGTCGGGTTTCAAGCTTCATCATCATAAGCACTTGATGTATTGCACTAATGCTCCTACTGGACTAAATGTCAGCGACGTATAAAATAAGAAGCACCAATCAACGGGACTAGCAATAGCCACCTCTAAGATAGTTATGTATTGTTCTAACTTTCTTGCTCTTACTTGTGTCATCAAGTGCGCTTCGCGCAGTCATCTCTTCTTTGCATTCAGTAATATTTAGTTTCATGTTTGAATTATTTCATATTTGACATATATATCAAAATTATTATAGGCGAAATAAAAAAAAATTCTAAAATATACTATAAACATAAAACGATCGTATGCTTAGAAATGCTTACCATACGTTGATATTAATTAGTAAACAGAAATCCAATTACGTAGATGTTTACCGATGTAGCAATCATTATAAATATAATAATACAACAGATTTTTAGATGTTAACTATATAAGTAATAAGTAATGCATTAAATTAGTTTTTCATTTTTCTTTTTCAAATAAATAAAACCGCCAGCTGTGTGTGACAATAAAATTTGTGTTTTATTTTAAAAATTAATCTATGATTTCAAGTTTTTCGTAGGATATCTCCAACACAACTGATATATCATTTCAATTGTTTTTCAACTATTTGTTGACATCATCTGTGATACTTAAAGAGTTTGTTTACATTACCTCTTCCTCTTATCCTCTTATCCTTTTATAAAAAAAGAACCTGACAAAGTGAAACGAGCTTATTCATGATCTTATTGGTTAAAAGATAGTTACATGATCAGCTGTTATGTGATAGTTAGTATCTATATGTTATGTACGCTACTGAGAGATTACAGCGGATT